TTTCGTCTTCTCCCATGATTGAACGTTTACTAGTGTTTTCTTTTCCCTCTTAGAAACCTCCTGAAAGGTAGCAGCTGATTCTGTAGCCCGTAATTTTGCAACCTCCATCTCCTGTCGTAGAGCAGCATTCTCCACCTCAAGCCTTCTAACAGCAGAGTTAGCAAGTTCAACCTGCCCACTAGCCTTGCACAATGCATGTTCCATCTCAGAAAGCTTCTTCTTGGTATTTTCCTCCAAAGTCTGCTTCTCCTTTTTCAGCCGTTCAACTTCCTCCTTTTCTTGCTTCAAAGTCTTTAGTTCAGCCTTGTCCTTACTTAGCCTCCTTGCAGCCTGCATGACCTTTTGATTGGCCCACTCCATCCACTCTTGCAACTGACTTTGTAATTCCCGAGCTCTTGGTACTAATTTCAAAACCATCTCATCCTTCTTATCCTTAGGAAACCACTGCCCAAGGGACTTTTCATAAGGCTTCTCAACAAAACTACTTGTAGAAGGCTCAGTATTGCAGCTGATAGGCACCGAGGGCTCATTGCTTTTAGTGGGCAAAGAAAGAGAAAGATCAGTTTCAGCTGCTGGTAGCGCAGAAGAAGTATTAGTAGCTGGTAATGCAAGTGGTGAACTAGGCGCAGGCATTGAAGATAGTACATTGATCTTAGAAAAAGGAGAAGCAGTTTTATTGTTTTCCAAGTTAAATGATAGAGAGGAAGAAGGAATGTCGATGGTGGTAGGATTATGGTTTCCATTGTCTTGGGCCACATCAATTCCCATAGCCTTGCTTATTTTCAGCGAAGCATTCTTAAAGTTTACTGCAGTGGAGCCTGAAACAGACTTTAGTTTCTTATCCAACATCAAACTCCCCAAACCAGTCACCTTTCCAGCTCTTGATGGGCCTTTCGGTCCATATGTTCGAAAGTTTTTATCCACATGAAGCGACTTTTGTCGTAGCATGTATTCTCTCTTCGTTATATTAGAATGAACCCTTCTGCTGCTCCCAATTTTTTCTTCAGCCACGGAAGTTTGAGGGTTTCCAGCCACATTAAATGATTCCCTAGCAACATCAGAGGCAGAATTTTGCAGTTCTTTATCTGATACTGATACACTTGAAAATAATGGGTCCTTTGGTTTAGTAAGATTAGGAACTCCTAGAGTGGCTGGTCCATCGGATTGAGAACTATGAGCACAGCTGATTGGAGAAATTGGCTTAAGAGGCTTAGGAAAATTCAACTCAGAGCTTTTGGCTTCTGCTTTTAACTGTGGGGTAGAGTTAGTTGAACCCTCATTCGAAGTCCCATCGCAGACACCTGCGTTAGACGGGTCACTATCCATTGTACATGCATGAGATACACTCATGTCACTGACCAATAAGCACCACATTGCATCGCCAGTGCTGAAGTAAGGCCTAACCTCTCGTAGAACACAAACTAATTCAGCTAAAATATATTTTTCTAGTTGCTGTAAATCCTCAAAATAGTGTTCCCTAGATTGATCAATTTCTTGGCCACTTCTAAGGAAAGCTAAGGTATTGTCCACTACATTCGACATGATATCTTTACAACCAAAACAAATGCCAGACCTCGAGATGGCTTTTATAGCAACCTCTTCAGTGAATCCAGAAGCAACAACTTTCTTGATTGCAGCCTTGAATATTGTGTCTAAATTGCATAAAATTAGTTCTACCAGCTGAGCTTCTGTAAGGTCACTCCAATCAACATCTTGGAACTCATCAACTTCTAGTTCCCCTCTTGGCCAGTCTATCCCAACATCAGGAGAGCCTCCATTGGACAATCCGAGATCGAGTTTCAATCCAGCAGAAAATTCTTGACTAATGCTACACAGATCACACGCACCGATTTGCCCCAGACTTGAACTAATCTCAAATTTCTCAGCTGAAAAATCATAACTCGGACATTCATCTTGAGATGAAGATGTGATCTTATTCAGGTCCCCTAAAGGTGGATCTGCTCGGTATTTCCTCTTATTCCTACTTCCTTTTTCCTGGACAAGCACTGAAGAAGGCCCATGGTTGCTAGTAGCAGGACAACTCGGCTTAGCGACCATTGATGCCATTTATCACTGTACAAGACAACAATGTATGAATACCTTAATCTAGCTATCATTTTTCCTCTTTCTCTCGTGTAGATAAATATACACTTCACAAGTAAAGGTACCAAACTTCTCCCATACCTCAATGCAGTTGGAAAACCATGAATATCAATTTTATGCAAACCGAAAGAAAGAAAAAAAAAAAAAAAAAAAAAAAAAACTATCATCGCATGAATGAATCATAAACACCTCAAAATTCATCAGCTGATGGTACAAACAAAACCAAGAACTAAACAATCCAGAACCTGGAGTATTCATCTAACTAAGAAACTAAAACGCATACCTCGAATCTCAGTATTAAAATCGAGATAATCAAAATCTGCGTCGGAAGAGAATAAATCAATCACAAAACAAACAAACACCGAAAGCAGAAACTGAAGAAGAATCTACACATGGAACACGAGCAAAAACTACATTCATCCAGTACCAAATTCATCGCGAATTGAATACAAAAACCAACCTCGTAGATCCAAGGAACTAAAAACTTAATGACCAATTATATATTGGGAAGAGACTGGTAAAAGTACAGAAGAAGAAGATCCTCCTCTCCTCCAAACAGAAACTCGAGAATTGAATGTTGAAGAACCAGCAGGGAAACAATCCGCAGAAACGCACCCGATTCAAACTGGCGAGTTGGAAGAATCGAAGACTGGAAGGAAATACAAAGTCAGAAGAATATCGATGAAATCAGAAAGCGAAATCCATGTAAGAAGCTTTTCTTTCTTTCTTTCTTTTTTTAATTTCTTGTGGTTTTTTTTTTTTTTTTTTTTTTTTTTTTTTTTTTTTTTTTTTTTTTTTTTTTTTTTTTTTTTTTTTTTTCGCTTCTTATTTTTCTTTCTGTTTACGATAAAATATTAAATTATTGTGAAATTTAAATGAATAAAAAGTTTTTTGTTTTTTGTTTTTTTCATCTTGAGTCAACTCATGAGTAAACAATTTTGAAAATTGTACAATATTTTCCATAAAAATAATAACAATAATCTAACACAACACATGCACACTTTTGCATAGCACATGTCCCGATGGATGACGTGGAGAAGACGCGAGGGAAAATTCGATAAAGGACACGAGCATATTTAAAGTGTCACACTAATTTCACGTACCCATGTTAGGGGCATAATCGTCATTCTACTCCTCNGCGTCTCTCTCTGACGGAAGATTTTGGCCTCAGGCGTTGCTGAATTTTAATGCTTTCTTTTTGGCTTTCTTCTTAACCTAACCAGGGTTATCTGAATTGCCTTCTCTAACTTACCATGGTTAAGTACCTACCAATCTTTACATATATATATAAATGGAACAATTTTTAAATTAGTGGCTAATATTTAGAGTCTAAATACTATATATATAATGCATGTTAAAATGGTCTCCAATTGCTGATGTAATAAATATTACCTATTTCGGAATTTTTCAATTAAAATTTTAAAAATTATTTTCTTTTCACGTCTTATAATAAAGGTGCATATAGATGGAAAAAAATCTTTCGAAACTATTTGAAATTTCCAAACAACTCAAATAGAATTAATAGAAAATGTCGACTCGTAAACTGATCCAAAATTTTTTTATTTTCTAAAAGTTCAATTTTTATCGTCCTCAACTCATATGAACACTTGATATGTGTTTTAATTGGATTTGTTCAAGTATAATAAAAATAAGAGAGTTAACTTAAATTTTTTAAAATATTGGTTGTATTTATTTATTTATTTATTATTACTTTATCCACAAAATAATTATAATAATAATAATAAATTTTCTAAATTTAGGAATTTGTTTTGGTGGGTTGTCGGTTTTCTTATTTAATAATTCTTATATTTATATAAAAAAGTATTAATGACGTCATTTATGTTAACATGATATACATATGTTGTGTTTTTTTCTCAAACAAAAAATATTATGCAGACACGTAATATGTTTATATTAATAAATAATATAAAAAGGGGGCAAGTGGACTTTTGGTATATAAATTGGAATTTTGAAATTTTAGAAAGAGACATTTTAGTTTAAATGAATGAAAATTACAATACTTAAAAATATTTTTAAATATTTAAAACTTATTTCTTATTTTTTATATTCTTTAAATAGTTTAATTAATTTTAAACTTTATTAAAAAAATAGATTTTTAGCAAGTTAAATATTTGAGTGTATAAAATATTTGTTGAATGCTCGAAGTGTGCTCTTCTATAGCCAACGAACAGTGATGGTGTCTTCTTCATCAGTGACGTGACAGTTTAACGAGTGATTCAACTCTTATCCCAGAAACTAGTGGTTATTTTGAGCTAAAAGTCAACCTTTGACGTTTAACCACAAGCCAAAAAAACCTTAAATCAATATTAGTTTGGAATTAGAGGACCAAACCAACGAACACCGATGATGTCTTCTTTAGCAGCGACATGATGATTCAACGGGTACTTCAAGCCTTGACCCATGAACTAGGGATGATTTTGAGTTTGAGGTCGGTCTTTGGTGCTTACCCACAATCCAAAGGACCTCGCAACGAGTTACGTTGGACTTATCTTCTCTCTTCTTTGAAGCTCACTGATCCTAATTAACACGTCATTTTTTACATTAAAAAAATTAAAATTTGATATAAGTTAGTGACAATATCCTTAAAATATAAATTTATTAATAAAATAATATTTATAAATTTCATAAAATTTTGGGCCAAACAAAATTGTTTTGAGATGGGCCCATGAAGGATATCTTATGGGCTTGGGCCCATTTGAACACAGGGTTTAGTAAATCAATATAAATCTATTAGAATGTAACCAAATTGTCCAAAACTAAACCTAATTTTTGTTAATACCGTAATTAAAAATAATAATAATAGTAATAAATAAATAAATTTCTCTTTATAAATAGCCCACCGGCAAGCTTTTTCAATAGATACGTCTTATTCCACTTTTGCCCCTCTGCAACCGGTCGTGATCATTATTCATTTTTTTCAGGAAGCTCCCAATTCAAAATCTCGCATTCCATTTGTTCCGATGGATCTGTTTTCAGTCTTCTCTGCCGACGGACCTTCGGAACTGTCCGATGCGGAGGAGGAACAGGACGACAACGACCACGACGATGATACGGTTTCTAATATCTCCAATACGAGTTCTGCTTGGAGCTTCGGCGGCCTGATCAAGACTCTCGCGACCACGTCGGAATCTGTAATTTCGAACTACCGCCGTGAGCTTGAGGAATTAGGATCCGGATTGAAGAAGGAGACATCGGTGATTCGAGACGTCGCATCGCGTGCCGTGAAGGACCTTCCGACGACGCTCGATGTCGGTGCGTCCGTTGCGCAGGAGTCGCTGGAGTCGGTCGGCCAAGCCATTGACGATATCGGTAGTGCCGTTTGGAAATCGACTTCGAAGATTATCTCACATGGTAGGGATACGTTATTAGCTTCTGATCTTGTTTCGGGAAATCATGAAAATAATAGCGATGTTGTTCTTTCGTCAAACCAATTAGGAAGTAGCAATAGTAGAAATCTCGAATTCAAACAGTATAATAGGTTCAATACGCAATTGATTGCGATTCAGCGAGACCTGGATACGTATTTGGAGGAACCTAAGGATTTAGAGGATTACAAAAATTGGAAATTAGGTTTTGTATTGGAAGATAAAGAGCAGGAAATCGATAATTTGATGAAAGAAAGCGAGGATGTTCGGGAGATTTATCGGACGATAGTTCCAAGTACAATCGTCCGTGAGTTCTTCTGGAGTAGATACTTTTACAGGCTTCACAAGCTTAAGCAAGCAGAAGAAGCCAGAGTTAAGCTCGTGAGGAGAGCCATTTCTGCAGAAGATGAGGAAGATTTGAGTTGGGATGTTGACGATGATGAAGAAGAAGAAGGGAATAATGCTGAGTTGCAGTCAAAGGATGAATCCAGTGGCGCTCTCAGTACTGAGAAGAGAGAAAGTGACAGTTCAGAGAGTGCCATCTCTAAGAAAATTGCTGTTTCTGATGATCCAACAGAGGACAGTAATAGGAAGCTGGAAGAGAAAGTTGGTGAAAAATTGGCTGCAGATGGAAGAGGAGACAGTGGTGATTCCTGCAAAGACAGCGACATTTCGATCATTTCCAGTCGATCTTCCGGGGAAGAAGAACTTGGATGGGATGAAATTGAAGACATTGGAACCATTGATGAGGCCAAGAACAATACCTCCAGTAGTGGCAGTGCACAAAAGATTGGTTTGATCAAGCGGCTGATTGTGGCAGAGGAAGAGGAGGATCTGAGTTGGGAAATTGAGGATGAAGATGAATGTACTAAATCATGAAGAAAGTAAAATTTTGTTTTCTTTTCAAAATCTCAACTTACAGTTCATAGACTCCATGATTTGGTGACTGCTTTCGTTGATAAAAAGCATATTCATTTGGGTTGTGATCACTGTTCATATCTCATTGTCCGTTGTACAAATTGGCTCCTCTATTTGTTTCATCTGGGTGTTGATCACAGATTACAATCACTTGGAAGTTCGAAACTTCCAAAAATTATTGAATGAGGCAGTTTAGTGGTTGTCTCACCATAATCGTCGGAGGTAGATTTCTTTTGCAACTTATTGAGCGATGGGATTAGAACACGAACAGAACTTCTTTTGCAATTTCTTTCCTGTACATTAGATTATACAAAATTGTCACGAATACAACTCAACCAATATTGAAATGATTATGAAATCAATTGAACTTTTAAACATTTTGTTTTTGTTTCCAAATCCTAAACAAAATATTATTTATCGAACTTTTGATCTATTGTTTTATGAATGGACTCGAGTTTCGTTTTGATAGTAATTTCTCGACAATAAGACAGATTAATATATCTCACGAGTATATAGTGGATCAAATTAAAATTTTAAAGTTGTTAAGATCCTTTCTCAATTTTTTGGTATGTGAATAAATTTAAGAACAAAATCCATTTGAGGAGTGATTAGCTTTATAGTCTTGATGCCACCTGCAGTGTACAGTTTGAGAGTAGATCAAAAATGGAAAGAATTATGTTCATATGATGTTGAAGAGCATCGTGGACTTCCCTTATAGAAGAGCGCATCTCAGACGTGTCAGAGTGGGTCGGTGGATGGGCAGTGGCAGTCTGGTAGAGACGAGGACAAAGATGATGAAGCTTATATGTTGTAATCAACCACCACTGTTCATCACAGACGCTCTTCTAGCCCTTGGATCTAGATGCCCAGCAGATCGCCGCGGTAACTCAGCCTTTCACGTTAGTCTCTCTCTCTCTCTCTCTCTCTCTCTCTCTCTATATATATATATATATATATATATTATAAAGATACACATATAAATAATATATATATATATATACCATACAGTGTCGCGATTGATTGTTAGCCTAACGAATGGTCAAGCCCTAGGGGGCGAAGGTTGAAGAGGATGAGGGGCATGGCCGGGCGGATAGGGAGAAGAATTTTCCGTTTGGGTTTTGTGAGAATTCCGATGGTGCTATCTCGCGGCAGAAAGTATTCATAGAGGATCTCCGGTGAGTTTGATATGCTGTAATAGAGGGAATTGTGTCGGGGGTACGGAGTCCTTGCAATCCGCAACGCTTTGCTTCTCTCTCTCTTCATTGATGGACAAGCTTTTGGGCACTAACTTGACGAACGTCACGAGGTAGAATTTTTGTTCGTTCTATTGTTCCTTTGAATTTGCCTGTTTTCTTCTTGTTCGTTGGTTCATTTCATGGGGACTGGTTTTTGGTCGTCTGAGGATCTGTGATTCTTCTGATTTCAGTTCGTTTCTCTGTCTTTTTCTATCTTTTTACACTTGGAGAATTTCGTTGGTTCTTCTGTCTGTGATGCATCTTCTACAGTAGGAAGTTATGGAATTCTATTTCGTTATTTGAGATTGTGCCATAAGAATATTCTAATAGAAGAACTGTACGCTTGAGCTTACTTGCTGCAAGTTTTTAATCCGCTTCTTCTCTTACGAAGTGATTCATCTTTCTGGAACTCTGTTCTTATGCTGTTCTTTTCATAAGATGTCTTTTGTTTCTACTTTTGTCTATGCTCGAAAGAATCTTGCCTGAAACTGCAACCTCGGGAGCTCATTGCTTTGTTGTTGTTTTTGGTTTCTTGTTCATTTGCTGTTATTTGATGTGTGTTCTGTAATTTGCAGTTCAGATACTGATCTTAACAATGAACAGTGTGAGAATGCTATGATTGTGAAGGCATATCCAATTGATATGGTGCGTGCAACAGATGAACTGGGTGGAGAGAATGATGGGAATTGTATGCTTGAACCATTTGTGGGGCAAGAGTTCGATTCATCTGATGCAGCACTTAATTTCTATAGTTCATATGCACAGCGTGTTGGATTTAAGGTTCGAATAGGTCAGTTGTACAGATCACGAACTGATGGTACGGTATCATCTCGCAGATTTGTGTGTTCAAAAGAGGGGTTTCAGCTTAGTTCACGCACAGGCTGTCCAGCAGTCATACGAGTACAGAGGCGTGATTCTGGGATGTGGGTCATTGACCTTTTTCACAAAGATCACAATCATCACTTTGAGCATGATGATGGGGGGGAAACCCTTCCTACTTTTCAAGTTAAGGCTCCTAGATCTGCAAAATTGATGGTTAATGTTTCTCATAGACGAAAAATTCATCTATTCAAGGATGTTGAACATGCCTTCTCCTGTTCTTCAGGAATTATTGATTCAAAGCATTTAAATGAGAGAGGAAACGTAATACCACCAAGGGGTGAGCCTTGTGTTGGTCTGGAGTTCAATTCAGCAAATGAGGCATATCAGTTTTATAACGCATATGCTGCAAATGCAGGATTTAGAATACGCATTGGTCAATTGTTTCGATCAAAAAACAGTGGTTCAATTACATCGAGGCGATTTGTGTGCTCTAAGGAGGGATTTCAACATCCATCAAGATTAGGCTGTGGGGCGTTTATGAGGATCAAGAGGCATGAATCTGGAAAATGGGTTGTAGACCGCCTTAAGAAAGAGCATAATCATGATCTTGAGCCTCAACCAGAAACTCAAAAAAGAAATCTAACAGTTTCGAAAAGGTTCACAGGGGAACTGAATGGTGGATTCGAAGGCAAGGAACCAGTTAACTTGAACTATGGGATCGTCATCAAGAGAACTCGGGAGAACAAAATTGGTAGTGATTGGTACCCAGGTCTTTTTGAATATTTCCAATCCAAGCAAGCAGAAGATACTGGATTCTTTTATGCTGTAGAAGTTGAGAATTCTAACTGCATGAGCGTTTTCTGGGCAGATGGAAGGTCTAGATTTTCTTGTAGTCAGTTTGGTGATACCATTATCCTCGACACTTCATATAGGAAAAGTGCTTATGCGGTTCCATTTGCTACTTTTTTTGGAGTTAATCACCATAAACAACCTGTTCTTCTTGCCTGTGCTTTAATTGCTGAAGAATCTGTGGAATCCTTCTCATGGCTGTTTCAAACGTGGCTTAGAGCAATGTCAGGTTGCCACCCACTTTCAATAATTGCCGATCAGGACAAGGCGATTCAACAAGCCGTCGCCCAAGTCTTCCCCCGAACTTTACACTGTTTTTCATCGTGGCAAATCCGGAAAAAGGAGCAAGATAATCTTAACATGCTGGATGAAACTTTTAGATTTGAGTATGAAAAATGCATTTATCAGAGTCAGACTGCTGAAGAATTTGATGTTGGGTGGAACATGCTTGTGGGAAAGTATGGGTTGAAAGACAATGCTTGGTTTAAAGAGATGTACATAAAGCGTAATAACTGGGTTCCATTGTTCTTGCGGGGAACATTTTTTGCAGGCATCCCCACGACTGACAATTTCGAATCGTGTTTTGGTGCAGCATTCAATGCTCAAACACCACTTGCAGAGTTCATTTCTCGTTACGAAATTGGGTTGGAGAGACGCCGTGATGAAGAAAGAAAAGAGAGTTTGAACTCTCTAAACTTACAAGGTTTTCTGCAAACAAAAGAACCAGTAGAAGAGCAATGTCTAAGGCTCTATACTCACGCAGTGTTCAAGGTGTTCCAGAAAGAACTCCTGCACTGTTACAGATATCTTGGGTTCAAGATTTACGAGGAAGTGGCTCTCAGCAGATACCTGGTGCGTCGCTGCGAAAATGACAATGAAAAATGTGTAGTCACAGTGATATCGACAAACCTGACGGTGAATTGTAGCTGTAAAATGTTTGAATACGAAGGGATACTGTGTAGACATATTCTGAGGGTGTTCCAAATATTAGGAATAAGTGAAATTCCACCCCGCTACATCCTACACAGATGGACTCGAAATGCCGAGTATGGAACATTGCTAGATGTGGACACAGATGGTGGCCCTCAAGAACTCAAGGCCGTGATGCTATGGAGCTTGAGAGAAGCTGCTTGTAAATACATTGAGGCTGGTGCAACATCTCTTGAAAAGTACAAACTTGCATATGAGATCATGCGAGAGGGTGGAAGGAAACTCCGTTGGCAAAGATAAATATGGAGGTTAGATAGATATCTCTGTTCTCAATTTTATACTGCATGCACATGCTTCTTCTTCTTCTTCTTCTTCTTCTTCTTTTTTTTTTTTTGGTTGGTCAGTGGATGACTTTAGATTGTGATCCAGAAACCATGATATTGAGTTGTGGGGATGATCCTTTTCTGGATATGTCATACGTGAATGTTTATAATATGTAAATGAAAAGAATTTGGATTACTTAGAATGAGTTTATATTTGAATATAGCGTCTAACCGAGCATAGTTCAACTAGTTAAACTAAAAGGTCATAGGCTCGAATCCACGCCCTCGTATATTGTTGATTCTTTGAAGTGATACAACTCGTATAACACTTGAAGATAGATCCCTTTTCAGGGCAGTCGTCTAGACAATCACCATGAACTTATAAACAACAATTATCCAAGCCTTTTTTTTTTATTTAATTTTGTATTTTCAAGCTCACATGTTATAAGATTTAAAAAGAAAAAGGAAAACAAATACAGGTGACATATCATCACCTCAACATCAAATCCACACGGAATCAATACATGAAAGAACACAATTAGAAAATTAAAAAATTACAGAAAAAGAAATCAAAAGGGTGTTTGAAGTTCCAAGCTATTGGTTTGTACATGTATTCATGCATGTTTGGTTCAAACCCTTCCGCCAATTCGGTTGCTACTAACAATCATCTCTTCAACCCCAACTTGGATAGCGCCTGTGCATAACAATTGAGTTGCACTTGTGATGATTGTCATTACCTCCAAAGTCCTCTGTGTACAAATACAAATATTCCACATTTCAATCTTTCAGTCGTACAACCATATATAGAACCATGTGATTTCTAGTTCTATAAAGTAGTCTTGGCCTTTGAATTGTCGTTTTATTTCTAGTTTTATTAGTTCGTATTACGTGGATTGATAAAGTAGAATAATGTATATGAACCACGTATGCAACTACGAGATCGTATAGCGATATAGAAAGTACCAAAAAGGAAAAACAAGTCATTAAAAAACCCTTCCTTCTTTAGGGTCTAGACACTTATGTACTTGAAAAGCTTCTAGCTTGAAGACTTGAAATTGGAATTTAACAAACATTACCCAACAAGCTTCTTCAAGAATGAAAGTAAGAGAAAAGTTAAAAAGTGGGAACTGTTCCAGACAATGCCTGTCTTACCAAGTTTCCATTTGTCCAACCAAGTTCAATTTCTTTCCATGCAAACCTGGAAAACAGAGTAAAGAAAACAGTAAATTATTAAATACGAAGTTCATAATCAAATTACCATTGGAAAACTGATTTACTGTAAAGAGAACAGAGAGGGAAAAAAGAAGTGTATAAAAATTACCCCATAGCAAGAACAGTGACTGCCCAAGTTGCAAGAGAGGAAGCAGATGCTGTGTGTACGTTTGAGGCATTCCATTTTGAGACATTGGTGATACCTGTGGCTGATGTTGCCATTCCAACAATCCCAGCAATCAAAGAGAAGATAATAAAGAATCCCGTCGCCATGTTTCCGATGGGGAAGTACATCGGAAACAAGTGGGCTGGCAGTGCCAACGTCGATGCTACAAATTCATACAAAAAGAACATTTAGAGAGACCCAAACTTACTACTAACATTCTGATTTGTTGTATATGGTTGATAAAGTTGGAGACGTGAGTCGAAAGTTACCTGATTCGAAAGACTTCTCCAACGCGTGATTTACCGCCCACGAAGCAATGACAGTGATGATGAAGTAGAGTACGAGATTAAGAACTAGAAGGACGGAAACTGCAGATCGCACTTGAGTAGCCATGGATTTTTGGAGCTTAGAGAAGCCAAGAAAGAGAACGAGAGAGAATGAAAGTCACCTCCTTGCCCTGAGCTCATAAGATAGATGGATATAAAGGGACATACATATATATTTAAGCCAGAAGTTGTTCTTTTCCCACAAAAATCAAAGAACAGTTCATCTCCAGGTTAAAAGTATTCCTTTATTTCATAACCAGAATGAAGTTTCTTCAGTTCCAAGGAACGGCCAAAGTTCCTTTCCAATTGTTAAGCTTGCCTCATAAGGGAGCAAGGAACAAGATTCCATTCAAACTAAACCAAGATTGAATCATTGGAATAAGAGATAAGGAAGAAGGCTGTTCAAGAGCCATGTTATACAATCATTGGAATCAATATTTAGTTGTTTTAGTACTTGTATTACCCTCTTTCTTTTTTAGAAATGAACTTTATAGTCTGCAAAACAATTTAGAACATGTCACCGTAACTAGATCGGTGACTGAATCCATCCGTAAACAACTGAGAGGTATGCGAAAATTCATAACCAGATGGAAAGTGATCAAGAGGCACTGTCCAAATCCAATTGAGTAAACATTCAAATAAAATGAACATCTGCAAGGTACACAGATGAAGTTTCTTTTTGCTCCAAAAGATTATTATTTTTTTTTGTTTTTTTGCATGAATGATTGTTCTGAAAAGCTGACTGGAAGACTTCAAGACCTTTATTTACAAAAGGTCTCTCTCTGCATTATCTAACAGAATGAGGGAAATTCTTCTCCTTGGTTGGTAACTTAACTTGATCAACTTAGAACTTTGCCCTCAAGACCAAATATGACTCATTGGCTCTAGACCTTCAATGCCAGTTTCTGAGCAGCAAGTGCTTCAGCTTCGAGTGTTGGCTCCCACAGTAGTGTTGATTCTGCCAGCAGCGAGGTCACGACGTATGGGTCCATGTTTGAAGCAGGACGTCGGTCTTCCAAATAACCTATTGCACGACAACATCACAAGGACATAGTACAATCAATGAAGTGTCACTGCCAAGAATTCTATGTTTCATAGAGTATCAGATAACAGAAGCAGACTCCAACATTTGAAGAAAGCTTCTTTGGTAATGCAAGTGGTTTTTACTCCTAATTTCAGTTTTTCTCATGTTCAGAGAAAATGAAGCTAAAATGTCACTAAAGCGGGAAAAAACCCGTTTATACGCTCGTTAGACTTAGTGCCTTCTTGTTATTGAACAACAATGGCAACATCTTTCAAATTAGCTCCATATTATTGAATAACGCGTCTTATTCCTGAAATGATATAACACATACCTTTGCCTTCTTTCTCAGTGTCACGTCCCACACGGATCGAACAACCACGGTTAGCCACTCCCTGCAGTTGAAATTTTCAAACTTGTTCCAAATAGTATTTGTTCAGGACAAAAGAGTGTGTAGCAGATGTTCAGACATACCCAGGAAAAGGAGTTGATACTTGCTGTTTCGTGCTTCCCTGTCAACCTCCTCTCATTTCCTTCTCCATAGGCACTGATATGCTCCTTGTGGCGAAGAGACAGATTCAGAATAGCCTTCTTTATGACTTCAAACCCTCCTTCCTCTCTCATGCTCTTCGTACTGTAAATCAATGGATTGCTCATCAATTCTAGCCACTACGAAGACATTTCATTGTTGTACAATGATCATATTCAATGAAAGGGAATGCATTCAAGTACCTGTAATTGGTGTGGCATCCTGCTCCATTCCAGTCACCCTGCCCATGAAATGAATCAGACAAGTCCACTTAACCAGTCCATTCCAAGAGTAAATTGGACCTAAAAGTTTAAGGTACCTCAATTGGTTTTGGATCAAGTGAGAGAACCACCCCAGCTTGCTCGGTAATTCTCTGTCAAGACGGAGGAGGAAACATGAGTTCACACATAAACCCAACTAAAATCTCAGTCGAGGAGCAAAGCAACTCGACCCAAGCATCTTCCTCGAGCCCACCACTTCACTTTCACTTTCATCTTATTTACCGAGGAGCGAAGCAAACATACACTTCCATGTTTTTACCAGAAATCTATTTACTCTCCAATTCATCTTTGACTCGAGCTAACTTTATCAATATAAGGTAACTTCCTATGCATTCACAATTCTGTGCCACAAACTACTTACATTAAGAAGTTATAAGTTTTATTCGAGGATGACGAAATGAACAACGTTATCGAGATTAAAGAGAGCATCTATTCGAGCCGGGTAATAGAGGAAGTTTAGCCCTTCAAGGTTTCATACCTCAAGAATGTATCTAGCACACCAAATATGATCTCCTGCTTCAATCCCAACACTAGGACCAACTTGAAACTCCCACTGCATGGAAAATGTAGTTAATTCAAAGGATTATATGAACTGTAGAATACCGCTCGATTCGACAAGGTTAGACATCAGTGAGAACAAGAGAGAACCTGGCCAGGCATGACTTCTCCATTGGTACCACTAATGTTGATCCCGGCGTATAAACAAGCCTTGTAGTGAGCATCTGATATATCTCGACCAAACGACTTATCGGCTCCGACACCACAGTAATAAGGACCCTGCCATGAACAAGATATCAATGCAGATGAAGTTAATATGATATTGTACAATGAAACTGTAAAGATCAATATCAAAAGAACTTCAACCTGAGGTCCAGGATAAGCTCCAACAGGCCAACCTAATGGCCACTTCACATTTGTCTGAAGTAAGGTGTACTCTTGCTCAATTCCATACCTAAATTACAATGGTTTCAGTACTCTGCATGGTTCTACAGGGCACACTAAAGTTAAATGTATGACTTAATTGGATTACTAACCAAGGAACTTCATCCACAACCTTCTTGTTGCTGAAAATCTCAGCAGCTCGGTGGCGTTTGTTCGTAGGGATGGGCTCACCTGCTGGTGTGTATGCATCACAAATCACCTTCATTGGATGATGAGACCGTTAACATTCCGATATATGATACCGAAAACATAAAGACTTTCGTTCTATGAGCAATGATTCTTAGAACTCACCAAAATATTGTTGCCACCACGGAAGGGATCCTTGAAAATTGCTTGAGGACTGAGGAATACATCAAATATTAGGCAGATGAAGATACTAAATGTTATTATAAAGACAAAGATCTTAGATCATACTATAGAATGACTTCACTGTCTTCCCCAGGTGCTTGTCCAGTACTAGATCCATCGTAGTTCCACTTAGGTAGCTCAGATGGATGTTCAACAGGCTTTGAAATGGTCTGATTGTAAGAAATGATGAACAAAACTCAGAATAAGAGCAATGAGGATCAAATGAATTGAAGTGATGAATGTTTATTGTATAAATCAGAAGCAGAAAACAGCATACCCTTGACTTACTACGCAAATCAATGCCAGATCCTCCAATCCTATGTGAAAATACGAACCAAATAGTTTCAGATATGATGAACTTTTTGTTCTAATGAACACTCTAATCTGCTGTATGCTAAGTGAAATGCAGGTTAAGGAAAGATGAAGAGAAAAACCAGATATATTCAGCAATGATCTTGTCAGTGTATGGAGTAACGTCCAGTTTTAGCAGATCTTCCATCCTGTTTATGGTGCTACCATCAGATTTGAGAGCCAAAACTCTGAATTTTGCTGAGCTTTTCACACCTCCTTTCTTGCTCTGCTTCATAAGTAAAGAACTCCACATCTTGGGGGTTATGGGGCTTCCACCCATTGAACTCTGTTTAGTTCTCAGTTGACATTGAGTAGATGGAGCTAAAATCTGAGCCATTTCTTGCACCTACTGCTGAAATGAGAGCATTCAAAGATCAAAACTACATTGTTTCAGGAGAGTTCAAGCCATCGAGTGAGCTATTCCATTGTTTCATCGATCCAAATGATGAACACAAGGAAAACACATTTAGAAACAATCCCATGTAAGAAAACAGAGCATTTGACAGTAAACGTAGCCACATTTCCCTAAATCCATGAACAGACACAAACCCAGATAACGAAAACTCAAGAACTTACAAGAGAAGTGCCGGAGAGTGGCAGGAAAATCAAACCCAGAAGTGGGTTTCTTCGTCGATAATGGCGGATGAAGAACAAGGGGATGAAGATTGCAGGATAGAGATAGAGATAGAGCGAAGATCCTACAACCATATAAAAGGGAAGTGTTTAAAAGAGAATTTGTTGGCTTTTGGGAAGTAGATAGGGCTGCGAGATGAATGGAGGAAATTGGATTTTGGGTTTCGAGATATAAAAGGTATTTTATGGAAATTTGAGGAAGGTATTGATTATTGAAGAACACTGCATCATTTGATTGGTTTCAGTATTAAATTACTAACAGTTTATGCTTTTCTCAGCCGAGAACGACATGGGGTTGCAGAGAATCTTGTTAATTTAGTCAAACTTTTCCTTTCAAATAATTTATTTATTGTTTCTTTCAATTTCCAACTGATTTATTTAGTATAATAAAATTGTTAGAAGTAATTACTTGATATCTATGTTTGATTCTTTTAAGTCATCTTAATCCCGAACATCATAAACAAAAGATCTAACCAAACAACCGTGTTATTAAAAAAAGTTATCATAGTGAAGTTTCTAAGGTAGGTACTACAAACTTCCGTTGAATACCAAATTAAAAGAAACGAAAACATTTTCTAACGTATCAAGACGCCTTTAGAGTATCAAGATGAGCTACCGAATTAAAAGAAATGAAAACATTATCCAGCGTACCGGGACGCCTTTCACGTGAGTATCTACAGCCACAGATAGTGTCGAAGCCCCCAAAAGTAGAACTTTATTGAGATTTCACTTAGGAGTAGTATGATAGTAATAGTAACAACCATGTTGGATATGAAATTTGAAAGTTCATCAGCATTACCATGGTGGAGTAATATAAACCTTCTCTGGAGCAGTCAGTCCTGTCTATGCTGCCTGAAGTTATTGTTTAACTCAACTGTCTAAACAAATTTGAAGCTCATAAGGTTTCAGTTCAACTGACATTTGGGTATTAGAACGAAAAACAAAATTTCGAAACTCGTTAACGAGTAAGAATCGCAGTATGCAGCGGTAGCTGAATGAAATCAGACTTTGCCATCTTCGAGTGATGATTATCACACCTGCAGGAGATGATAACAGTGGTAAGTTAAGGCAAACGAAAAAATTGTACCCAAAAGAGTCTCGGTCGAGTAACGAGGTTGGATGCCAGTTCACGGGGCTCTCTCCTATGGCGAGAACTCAAGGACCTGATTGTACAACCAATAAAACAGTGTCGTTGTTCCTTGGTTTAAAAGATAGTTGAGATTATAAAAGATTAGATTGAGTTTTCTGATGAACATAGCATAGCATCAGAGTCTATTCAGTTGGCCTTGGTAATCTAGAATGTTGGTTTCAGTGTACATTTTCAAATTTTCTTATATCAATATGTTAATACAAGTCAGTTTGGCCAAACAAGCAAAGATAAACTGACCCACTTATGATCCAAATTCTAGATTTGTAATAGTTCAATGGGCAGATATGGTCCTTTTTTAGCTTTCCCTTTCAGGCTTTCCTTTAAGGTTTTTAAAACACGTATCTTATAAAAGGTTTCCACGCTCTTATAAAGGGGATCTCACAATCCACCCCCCTTGGGCCCCGATGTGGGATTTGAAATGTTTCGTTCTCCTCTCCAACTGAGGTGGGATATCACAATCCACCCCTCTCGGGGCCCAGCGTCCTCGCTGGCACATCATCCGATGTCTGGCTCTAATACCATTTGTAACAGCTTACATATCATCGTTAGCCTCACGGTTTTAAAGCGCGTCTCTACTAGGGAGAAGGTTCCACGCCCTTATGAGGAATGCTTCGTTCCCGATCAGGGAGAAGGTTCCACGCCCTTATGAGGAATGCTTCGTTCCCGATCAGGGAGAAGGTTCCACGCCCTTATGAGGAATGCTTCGTTCCCGATCAGGGAGAAGGTTCCACCTCCCTCCAAGCCCAGGGGCCTCACTTGCACATCGCTAGCTCTAATACCATTTGTAACAGCCCAAGCCCACCAAATTATAGTCTTAAAAAGGATGTGTGTGTGCGCGCGAGGGGCGGTCTTTAACAAGAAGGAATACTCAAAATTTAAGCAACTCAAGTAACTTAAAACATTCTCCATCAGAAGCCGAAATCACGAGAAACCATTACATTTTATACCGAACTTCCTTGAACTAGAAGATCAAATAAACATGAAAACTCCTTTATTTATACCAGACATTTAATCATAGAACTCAAAAACATAATCATGCAAGCTTCAGCTAATCCACACTATAATCAAGATATCCATCTTAACAAACAAAAATGATGCCTCAAATCCATCTAAACAGAACTTTGAAGTAAATATTACCTTACAAAATGATGCCTCAAATCTGTATCTAAACGGAAGCATTTCTCTGCCAGACCTTTGCTTTCTCAGCATCAATAATGGATCCCACCAGCTTAGCCGCATTCTCCAGCTTCCCTTCTGCATTCACAACCACATAATCAAAATTCTTAACATGTCTTACTTCCTCTCTAGCCGTTGCAACTCTCACCAACAATGACTCCTTCGTCTCCGTCTTCCTATCAATCAACCTCTCCACCAGTTTAAGCTCACTCTCCGCCATCAAGAACACAAACACAGCAGATTTTCCAAGGATTTTCCTTAATGTCTCGGCCCCTTGAATGTCTACTCTCAACACAATATCAAACCCTTGTGCCATGAATTCCCTAATTTGCCTTTTGGGAATGCCCTTGTAATCCCCATACACTAACGCATATTCCAGAAGCTCGTTCCTCTCAATCATGGCCAGAAATTCTTCCTTAGAGACGAAATAATAGTCTTCTCCATCGACTTCACCAGGTCGCATTGACCGACTCGTCGCTGTCACGACAAAACGTAGCCCTTCTCGAACCTCTCTCAATCGTTTAATCACAGCGTCCTTCCCCACCCCACTTGGACCGCTGATAACAATAATCAAAGGGCTCGGTTTCGGTAACAATGGCTCGGAGCTAAACCCAGAATTGAGCGAAAACTCGAGTGATCGCAGCAATTCCGATCGTTCGGCTTTGTCTGGTGGCGGAATGTTGGCGGAGAGCGGTCTTCGAGCATCACCCATTTTAGAACTGGATGAGAAAAATGTTGGGGTTCGAGGGAATGGTTGAATGGGTTTGGATTTGATTGATTTGGGGTTGAGGAAATTGGTAAGGGAAATGGGGTTGTGGAATTTTATGCGGAGATTTCCAGAGCGGGAAAGATAGGCGCCGAAGAATCTGCAAGACATGGGTAGATGTAGAACGGTGAGAGCAGCCCGCTGTATCCCAACCAATTCACTCTGGAACAGCCTTGGGGAATGGAATTTGGTTCGCTGGATTCAAAAGGTTGAAGCGCACGACAGGGTGAAATCAAATCGCTTGAGAAATTTTCGGTTCTTCAAGTGGCCGAGGGAATGGCTCATGGGTTGGGTTTCACCCTAAGAAATCACATAATTTGAGGGTTTCTTCTACTCAACTAGCTCAATTAATAAGTATTCATATGCTTAATTATAAATTTAAATATTGTCGTTACACGATACAAACTCGATACGAGTAAGTTTATGATAGGATGGTGGAACTTGTTTCCTAATCAAGCATACCTCGTACTTTTGTGATCAATATAATAGTCAAAACACACTGCTAATAGATATTTTGTCTGCTTTGACCCATTACATATCGCCGTCAGTCTCACGATTTAAAAAACGTGCCTTCTAAAGAGAGGTTTCCACACCCTTATAAGGAATGTTTCATTCTCCTTTCTAATCAACGTGGGATCTCACGATCTACTCCATTGGGGCTCAACGTCTTTGCTAGCACACTGCCCCGTGTCTGTCTTTAATACCATTTGTAACAGCCCAAATCCACCACTAGTAGATAGTGCCTGTTTTGGCCTGTTACGTATCGTCATCAGTCTCACGATTTTAAAAAAGTGTATGCTAACGAGAAGTTTTCACACGCTTATGATAAATGTTTCGTTCCCTTCTACATCCGACGGGAGGATTTGATTGGATTATCAACTTATTCTTTGCTCATGTTATTACTTACATTCAATTATATGGTAAGATGGGGGCAAAAGGAAGGGTTAACAATTAATTAGTTAATTAATTAATTAATTAATTAATCATGTGATTAATTAAGAAACTTCATGGTGGATTTTGATGTTTATTAAAGGCATTCATCGAAGCTAAACATCTCGCACTTCCGTGTTTGGACTTTGTTTGTTCACTCTCTCTCTCTGACCAAATTGAAGTCTTCCAGGTTCATCATCGCCTCTCTGATTCTTGATTCCCCTTCAGAGTAAGCGTTTCTCAAATTCTCCCGCGTTCCAAATTCATAATTTTTTGCCGCTGATTTTCGCTTCAAATTTCCAAAATCCTTCATCGATTCAAAGTTTTAACCTAACCCACCATTTCAATTCTGCGTTTTTGGAGAAAGGTGTCGTTTAAAGATCAAGAAATCGGTTGTTCTCAAACTTTTAGTTGATGGGCACAATTAAACCGTTTAGAGAAACCTCTAAACTCTCTTCGAATCCTCCGTCGGTGACCTCCTCTACCGCTCGATTCGAGACTGTTAATAATTCGCATGATTTCAAGATCAATGGCTACTCCCTCAACAAAGGTATGGGAATTGGGAAATACATTACATCGGATACGTTTGTCGTTGGTGGGTACGAGTGGGCTATCTATTTCTATCCCGATGGTAAGAGTATGGAGGACAGCGCGGCTTATGTCTCGATTTTCATAGCGCTTGTCAGCGACGGCGCCGACGTCAGGGCACTTTTTGAATTGACGCTTCTCGATCAGAGTGGAAAGGGGAATCATAAGGTGCATAGCCATTTTGAAAGGAGGCTCGAGAGCGGTCCATATACCCTCAAGTATCGTGGAAGCATGTGGTAATTATTTTGCTTGTTGATCATGATTGTTCTTTAATGAATATAATTTGTGCTCAACTTGTTCATGATGCTGATCATCCGCTTAAATCTTGTGGATGTACGAAAACAGAATCGATTGAGTTCTCATAGAGTAATGTTGACTTAGTCGGTTCTTGATTGTTGTTGTTTGCGAGTTGTTCTTCCTTTTCCCCTCGAAATAAAAGGGAAATTAGACTATTATCAATGAGGATGAAAGTAGGATGGAGTTTGCATAGATAACTATCTGCCGAGTGGAGCTAATCAAACCATAAAGAACTCTTCTGTTAATCTTCAATTCCCGAAGATGTAAGAACGGTGGGAGTCTGCAAGAAGAGGGTTCTGCTAGAGAGACCCTAATCACCCTATTCAAAACTTCACTTTTGAACATCTAAGTTTTAATGACAATTTATCTTTAAAACCAAAGTGAAGCATGAAATAATGTATCGTTTAAATTTCAAACTCCTACGTTGTAAGAAGGTTATTCTTGAAAGCTCTTATTCCTCTGTACCTTCCAATTCCTGATTAGCAAAATGTGAACCTAAAAAGGTCCCTTACCGTGAGATCCCACGTCGGCTGGGGAGGAGAACTAAACATTCTTTATAAGGGTGTGGAAATTTCTCCCTAGCAGACGCGTTTTAAAAACTTTGAGGGGAAGACTGAAAGGAAAAACCTAAAAAAGACAATATTTGCTAGCAGTAGGCTTGGGCTGTTACTTCTACTGGAAACCGTTAGAACCCGAACTGCACTGGATGCCTGGAGAAAAAGAAAGACAATTAAGTAACGGATGATTCCATTCTTTGTAAAGAATGTACTATGTAGAAGCTAGAGGAGCATGTCCCCTTGGATGGTATCGCTTGAATTGATTTTCCCATTGGCCATCATCTGGGAAATGATTCGAACATCCTATGTATTTTCACTTACAAATTCTCCTGAAAGAGATAGAGCAAGTTCTTAGACTTGACGATGCTAATTTATCACACAATGGACTTTGAAGAAAAGTAACCCAAGGGATCCATTCTCTACCCTTGATTGTCATGAGTTGTCTTAGTAGTTAAATAGGAAAGTTGGGAATGTAGATACCTTTTAAGTCATAGTACCAACTTAGAATATTGAAATCCTACTGCTATAAAGTTTTATTGAGGAATTAGTCAAGGACCAAGGATGTACGTGGACCTGCATACTCATGGTTGTCATAGAAGAAATGAGATAGCGAGACAACCATCCCTTCAACCAAATTAGTTGACGATGAAGTTAAACTCATTAACCTTCTTAAATCAATACTTGTTTTTCTTTTTTCTTTTTAATTAGAAAATAGCAAAACTGTTCTTATAAATTTGAAAGCTATATCTTCTTCTTTGACCCTTTCTTCCACTCATTCATGTGGTCCTAATTGATGCGGAGTCACGTAGTAGCAGTATTGCTTTGCATCATTTGTTAATGCTCTTGGTGGTGGTAGATATAGAATGGAGTGCTATTTCGTGAGATTGTTAAATCTCTTGAAGAGGCAGTTACTTTGACAGTGTAGTATGTTTGAAGGTTGACTGGTTTTGGAAATGGCTTCTGGGTTTAATGTTCTGTATGGCTGTTTGTCGGTTTTTATTTCAGGTAGCACCGCAGATTATTTAATGAGTTCAGTGGATTCAAGAATTTCATAGTAGGCTAGGTGTTTTAGATCTAAGAATTCTAAACTATGTCACCCATCTGTCGCCTTTTTTTTTTTTAATTGAGTTTGATGGATGAAAATGTGTTTGTGGATTTGGGGTTCTCTCTCGTCTTTCCATTATGGTTCATTCAGTCTTTACTATATTCTTAAGTGCTTTCAATTGCACGCTTTATGTTTATATGAATGCTCTCACTCTCTCTTTCCAACAAAAAATTGCTACATATTGTGGGTGCCTGATTTTAAGTTGTGCCAAATGTTTTCTCAATGATTGTATGAACACTGAATAAAAGGATATCACTTGTGAATTTTCAGGGGTTATAAACGTTATTTCAAAAGAACTGTTTTGGAGTCATCAGATTACCTTAAAGATGACTGCCTCTCAATTAAATGTGTCGTTGGTGTTGTTAAATCACAAACAGAGGGGCCTAAAATCTATTCTATAACAACGCCACCATCTGACATTGGTCAGCAATTTGGGAAGCTTTTGGAAAGTGGTAAGGGTGCTGATGTAAATTTTGAAGTAGATGGTGAAATATTTGCAGCCCACAAGTTGATCATTGCAGCACGTTCACCTGTATTCAGGGCACAACTTTTTGGCCCATTGAAGGATAAAGATACTCGATGCATAAAGGTTGAAGACATTGAAGCTCCTGTATTTAAGGTTATCTCTGTTTCTCTCCATCTCTCACATACATAGCATAACTTTGTACTTCTTGTTCATTTTATATTATTATTGGATTCTGCAGGCATTACTTCATTTCATGTACTGGGACAATTTACCCGACATGCTAGACCTTGTTGGTGCAAACTCTAAGTGGGCATCAACTCTTGTGGCTCAGCATCTTCTTGCAGCTGCAGATCGTTATGCATTAGACAGGCTTAAATTGCTTTGTGAGGCTAAACTCTGTGAAGATATTGCCATAAATACTGTGGCGACTACATTAGCTTTAGCAGAGCAGCACCATTGTTTTCAGTTGAAAGCTGCATGCCTCAGATTTATAGCCATGCCTGAAAATTTGAAAGGTATGCCTTTGTTATGAAAATTGGACTCACTAAACTGGCTCGATAACTTTTTCTTCTAGAAATTACTGAAAACTGATTATGTGGTGGAAAAAGGGACTCACTCCTTTGTAAACACTAAACAGCTTCAGTTGTCCTATTTTCTAGAATTAAATTGTTTTGTGTTTCCCATTGCACTCTTCTTGACCCAGGCAATTAAAATATTGTCACGTTCTTACAGCTTCTTACTCTTCTCACTCTTTAATTTTTCGTTTTCATGCTTCTTGGCATCCATAGCTGTTGAGGCAAGGATAGAATGAGGTTGCCATTGTAGTTGATTCATGAAGAGAAATCTTGTGGGCTTGCGTCAAATGATATAGGTTGTTGGGTTAGTCCTTATTTTGTATTTACTGTTGAGCTGGGCTCCTTGGAATTGCTATGTGACAAATTTAGAGAGTTAGCGTTCGCTGTTCCCAGTGCCCACTATTTTTCTGCAAACAAGTTGGATGATGAACTTTTTGCTATTTTTGGAAAACAACACTGTATGCCATAGCTCATGATTTGTTCAACTTTCTTTATACTTTATGAGATGGTGATGGCTTGTTACGTTTATAAACCTTTATCAACTTCGATAAAATGTTGTTTTGGTGTGTTTAGATGGAGGTATCTGTGTGTTTTTAATCATCTGTAATTATTCCTTCTCCTACTTGAATGCAAGGTGATATGCATAAATTGAATCATTGCCTGGAAGTATAATGTAAAATCTGAAGCATTTTAGCTATTTTTCAGCCGTGATGCAATCAGACGGGTTCGATTATCTGAACGAAAGCTGCCCGGCTGTTCTTACTGAGCTACTGCAATATGTAGCAAAAGTGACTGAACACAACATACTCGCTTCTGGATTTGGGAATATGACCTTTCTAGATTGCTGCGATCTGAACGGAAGGCGTGTGAAGCAAAGGTTATACTGACCGATTTCGAAGCGAAGCAAAGGGAAACCTTTGAGGTATTAGGATTTAGACATTTTTCTTCTGTATTCAATTGATATTCCACAAGTTGTTATATGAATGAATTATAAAATAGAGTTCCTATTTTGTTGTCTGTTGTAAGCCAAAGGAAGTGACATTGGTGAGGTCTGTCCGTGGTTTTAGTTTGTGTACAGTACAGTCTTTGTAAGGCCCCCATCCCTAACAAGAAAAGAAACGAGTATTTGGACTTTCAGTTTCAGCTATATTATGAACACTCTATGCCTGTTGATGTTGAACTTCTGCTGTATCAAGAAAATTTGATATCTGATCAATTAAATGATGTTGTTATTGTATTATGATTTGGAAGGAACCATGTTATGTAATTATCTTTCTTTTTATTGAAAATTATAATTTTTGTATTTTATCCCGTCATTGCCATCAACCGCCCCGGCACTCAGGCACTGAAAACCTCTCCAACCTCTCCTTACTAGAAGTGTTTTAAAACCGTGAGACTGATAGTGATACATAACAGGTCCGGACAATATTTGCTAGCGGTGTATTTGAGCTAACAAATGGAATCACTGGGTGGTGTGCCAACAAGAACATTGGGTCCCTAAGGGGGGTGGATTTGAGATCCCCCGTGTTAGAAAGGAGAATAGAACATTTCTTATAAAAATGTGAAAACCTCTCCTTAGTCTTAGTAAATGCGTTTTAAAACCGTGAAGTTGACGCTGATACGTAACGGACGAAAGCATATGATATCTGCTATCGGTGGGCTACAAGGAAGAACAAATAAATGGATTGCTGCAGTTCCAAATTTATTCCAAACTTGTTATTCTAAAAGCTTCAAGAGTAAAACGGCAAACAACACACAGTGTCAGTAGCAATAAGGCTAGAAATGGCAGTTCATCAATTACTTAAGGTACTTAGTAAACCAAGCCAACAAGTCTCCATGAGCCTCATCTGCACATTTGACAGCCTCTTCATCTTCAACATTGTACCTCACAGTCCACCCATGAGAGACTTTCGGAAAGATCTTCACGAACGCATCAACCTATACATCCAACAAGCCAAAATTTACATTTATTTTCGATAATGGGACTGCCATTTGACATGCAGGCACGGAGAACTCATATCGAGCTTAGACATGTTCGTGGTAAGAGATTCAACGATATGATAAGAACTCAACAACATGAAATAGAATGAAGAAGTCTAAAACAACTCTCACTACCTCGGGCTTTGCAGCCAAGGCCTCTTCAAACTGTTTCAAGAGTTCTGGAGGAGACATATGATCGATCTCCGCCCCTAGCACTGAAACGTGAGCTTTGACCTCTGAAATTATCGACAAACATCGGATTCAGTTAGCTGTTATAAGAACATGATTCCTTAGGCTATTCTCTTCACGATTTGTTTTGTAAGAAAATGATTTGATTTGGAGACGGGAAGGGTAAAGGGTTTGAAGTGATCATGACTAGAGTACTTGTTATAATCGCACTCTTGCAGTAGCGGGACAGCGATCGTGCGGCACTTGTTCTAACTCAGTGAACAAGTTAGCTATGAGAAATTCGAATGTCAGCGTATGTTCGGGCCTCGAATCACGTTCGCGAGAAATGTTTTAGAAAACGTAAGGGAGGAAGTACATTTGAAAACGATATGAAAGAATCGAAGAACACAACATTATATGGCTATAAGCAAATAAAGGAACCAAAATACAAACCTTTGATGTCATCGACAGTAACCAAAGACGGATGAAGCAACACAGCAGCTTGAATCAACTCGACCTTTGCAAGTGCAACCACAACCTTGGCTAAGGTACAAAAACATAGAAGATTAGCTTTATGACTAACAACTTAAAGTTGTGCGAACTCGTCAGTCGAGCCTTTCATTTCATTGTTCAAGCACTTTCACATGCGTTGAGTTCATAGATTCTAACATCACGAACAATATACGACAATAGTAAACACGAGATAAATAGACTCACCACCCCAACAAATGCCGACCGCTCCGATCGCCGAAATACCTTTGCTTTTCAGAGCTTCAACGACTGCCTTCCCATCATCAAAAGACTTCTCCTGTTAAACCATTACACTAACATGAACTCGAACTCTCGCATATCGATAACAATATACTCACAAACAGTCCCAGATTTGTCCAAAAAACTAACAACTTCAGCAGCAGCAGCAGAAGATAGATAATAATCAATTAAGAAAACATTGCAGTAATGAAATGAAAGGCAAGAACTAACAGGTCCATGTTCTTGTAGCCACTCTTTAATTGGCCTATTAGGATCATTTGCAACAAATGGATCTCCCTTGAAGAAATCAGGAGCAACCACAAAGAACCCAGCAGCTGCAACCTTATCTGCTAGCTTCCTACAAATTGAAAGATAGCCATGTTCAACTCCTTCTTATGTGGAGCCATGTGGTAATTGCATTATATCTCTTTCAATCTTAGAAATACCTTAAAAGTGGAGCTTCATATCCTGCAAATCAAGGCAGAATCAAAAGCTTAGAGCACCAGAGATATTCCCTATTAAACAAGAAACGAGTTTAATCCAAAGATTCAACCTCCTAGATGTTCTATCTTATTGGTTTGTATATTCATATGGATGACTAATAAATGGTATGATATTGTGAACTTTGAGTATAAGCTCTCGTGGCTTTACTTTTAATTTCTCCAAGAGGCCGTACCAATGGAAATGTATTCTTTACTTATAAACTCATGATCAACCTCTTTATTAGCTTATGTGAGGCTCCTCTCGAACAAAGCACACCATAGAGTCTCTCCTGAGGCTTATGGAGCCCTTGAACAACCTCCCCTTAATCGAGGCTCGACTCCTTCTTTGGTGCCCTCGAACAAAGTACACCCTTTGTTCAACACTTTTGACTACACCTTCAAGGGTCACAACTTCTTCGTTCAACATTTGAAGATTCTATGACATGGCTAAGTTAAGGGCATGACTCGGAACCACGATTCTCCACAATGGCTAAGCTCTCATGGGTTTACTTTTGTTTTCCCCAAAGGGCCTCGTACCAATGGAGATGTATTCTTTACTTGTAAATCCATGATCAGCCTCTTAATTAGTGGACGTGGGACTCCTCACTTAACAATTCTCAACGATATCTAAACAATCCCACGAGAATCTTTCAATCAAATCCAGAATTCCAAAAGAATTTCTGTTAAAAACTCTACAGTGATCATGAATCAACCAAACAAACAATGACCCAAGTGATAATTCGCTTTACCTAAGTCAATTACCTAATTATACCAAAAGTAAAAGCGAAAACAGCAAGCCACAGAAGAATCATCAAAAGTGAAGGGCGAGAAAACAGAACAGAACAGAACAGAACAGAACCGATAAACAATAAAACAATGAATCGAATCAAAAGGGTCGGTACCATAGACATCGGTGATGAAAATGACGGCGTTTTTGGAGTCGGGGGCGCCACTGACATAGGCGCTGAGGCCGCCGAGTTGTTCGACATGGCCGGCGCCGCTGGTGGGGTTTAGAGACGGTGGGTTCGAGCAGCACTGCGGGCCTGACATTTTTGTTGCTCTCACTCTGATTTCAACGACTTAAAGAAAACGGCGTTCGGATTGCAACCAATACCTCCAAAATCGTTTGCCTCAGCCCTGACGTCAAATGTATGAACAACCCTGAAATATACCTTGAATGTTCTTCCTAATAATCGTCGTCTTCTACCTTATCTGTTTCTGGGTTCGATCTGTAAAAGGAGCAACTTTTTACATTTTTGGATTGTTTTTTTTGTAACTCAATTTGTTCCTTATGGATCAAATGTGAACCATATAGTTTATATCTAATTTATTATTAATCTAAACCACATTTTTATTATAGATTTAATAGAAAAAAATTAAAAATTTAAAAATTTTATTAGAAATGTTCATTATAAAATATATATATATATATATATAAACTTATTAAATAATTTTAAAACTACGAATTTATTTAATATAAAATTAAAAGGTTATAAAACTATTAAATATTATAATTTGTACATAATTAAAAGGTTAAAGTAAATGGTACACCCACATGGATTCGAACCGACTCGGTTGGATTGGGTCAACTTGTCTCGACTTAGCAAATTCAAGATGGGCCGGTCTAGACCGAGTTAGATTTAGGGGCTTTTTGGTCCTTTTGTTTCATAATTTAGGCCTAATTTCATCTCGAGTTTGGATTGATCCACTAATTTTGGGCCTAATCCATATTTCTTGGTTGGCCCAAGCTTGAGACCAATCAATGGGCCTTACTATGAATCTTAGGTTTTTTTTTAAGGTAATGACAAAAATACCCTTGGACAATTATATTCAGCCTAATTGTAACGACGCATGTCAAAGATTCGAAATCTGAATCCAGCACTTGATGACCCTGACATTCTCCTGTGTTTCCTGTGACATAGTCATGTTACTTACTTTTCGCTTCTAAGAGTGAAAATTATTCCCACAGACCAACACGAATCATTCTAGCATGTTTTGTCTTCACTCACGTACATTTTAAGAAAATTTCCAGAAGATCACCCAACATAAACTTACTCCAAGTAAAACACATAAGTCATTCTAACATGTTTTGTCTTTAACTTATACTCATGTACCTTCTTTGAGGGCTTTGTGACTCGTTCGTGTCGTGGTGGCTCGATGATGCCACGGTGGCAATGGCACATGGTGATGTATCGAGCAAACATGTCGGATTTGGATGTCTTAATCCTAAAGAAAACAATGAATAATATTATATTAGAAAAGACAAAAAATAATTAAATATGCTGAAAATGGGAATCATTTTTTTTTTCTTGACTGGCTATACTTATAAATCAAATTAGTTAAAAGCTAAGCTTAATTACTTGTCGTTTATGATAATATTTAAATGATAAACATTGGAAGATAAATTATTCCTGTCGGTGACAGATCGGTCAGGACAGACCACTAAAACTCATCTTCTTGGCCTTTTTTTTAATTAATAAAAAACGTATTTTTGTTTTTAATTTTACGCGGTTTTCTAGCTGTGCTTTACCTACAATTCATGCATGTTTACAAATAAAAATAAATGAAAAAAAAAAAAAAAAAAAACTGCCATGCCTTCATTAAATGGGTAATGGAAAAAATAATTAAAAATGAAAGTCAGAGGAAGTGGACAGGAGTGGGCAAGTGGCGAGTTTTTATTTGCAAGTGACAGTTTTAAAATCACAGGCAGGTATGACTAGGCTACAATTTTTTTTTCTTTTTTTATTTAACAACTATACTACAAAACCATTTAAAACATGTCTACTAGGTAAAAGTTTTCATACTCTTACAAAAAAAAAAAGTTTCATTCCTTCTCCAACCGATGACGTGGGATCTCACAATCCACCCCCTTCGAGACTTAGCGTTCTCGTCAGCACACTGTTCGATGTCTAGCTCTAATACCATTTGTAACAACTCAAGCTCGCCACTAACAAATATTATTCGCTTTGGCCCGTTACGTATCGTCGTCTGTTTCATAGCTACAATCAAATGTGAAATAGAGAGAGTTAATACAAAAGTAATATGAAGTACGAAATAAAGTTGTTATTATGTTATGTCAACTTTTTTTCGTGTGAGATTTGAAGCATATATTTGCAATATCTCTTCGAATGACTGGTGACGATCTTGACAAACCCATTGTGAATGTTTGCTGAATCACCACACCTCAATGGGGGTGAGAGTTCTCTTATTTATAATTATTTTCAGAATACAGAAATATGGTAAATTACAAATATTATGGAAATAGTAATAAAAGGAAAGAATAATAAATGAATGCAATATATTTGCCTTTAATAAGAGGGCAAATATGGTAACCCGTAATGTAAGGCAAATATCTAGATATTTGCCTTATAGTGACGGTCAACTATCCTTAACACCCCCCCGCAAGCTGAGCGTCGGATTTGAACGAACGTAAAGCTTGGATCTGAAAAATTCAAAGAGAGGTCGAGAAATACTCTTTGTGAAGATGTCAGCAACTTGGAGATGAGAGGGTACATATTGTGTGCGAAGTTTGCCAGCGATAACAAGTTCTCGAAGGAAATGATAATCTAGTTCAACATGTTTGGCCCGCTTGTGAGAAACGGGATTAGAGCTCAAAAAAATAGCACTTTTGTTGTCACATAAGAGTAAGGGCTGCTTTGAAATAGGGACCTTGAGGTCATGCAAAAGATGCGTAACCCAAAGAAGTTCAGCAGCGGTTGTGGCAAGAGCACGATACTCAGATTCACAGCTGGAGCGTGAGACAGTAGGTTGCTTTTTGGCACTCCAAGAAACCAGATTGTTACCAAGATAAATAGAATAGCCGGATGTAGAACGACGAGTATCGGGACAACCAGCCCAGTCAGCATCCGAATAAGCGACTAGCGTACTAGGAACATTGGATGGACGAAAGGTAAGACCAAAGTGGAGTGTTCCTTTGACATAGCGAAGAATACGTTTGACAGCAAGAAAGTGATCTGCAGTAGGGGCATGCAAGAATTGACTGACAGAATTGACAGCATAGGCAATATCTGGACGCGTAATAGTCAAGTACTGAAGGGCGCCAACAAGAGATCTGTAGAGAGTAGGATCAGAGAAAGGAGAACCATCAGCAGTCAAGTGTTGAGAAACAACCATAGGAGTGTGAACTGGTTTGCTATCGAGCAACTGAGCACGAGTAAGAATATCTCGAGCATATTTTAACTGACTAATAAAGAGACCATCAGGAGTGGGTGAAGCTTCAAGACCAAGAAAGTAACTGAGAGAACCCAAATCTTTGGTAGCAAACTCAGAATGAAGCTTGCGAGTAAAGCTGTCAATAAGAGATGAGTTGTTGCCGGTAACAATAATGTCATCAACATAAAGAAGCAAATAGATAATGTTAGATTGCTGATGAAAGACAAAAAGGGACGTGTCAGCGCGACTGCAAGAAAACCCAAGTGTGAGAAGAAATGAGCTAAAACGCTGAAACCAAGCACGAGGAGCTTGCTTTAAACCATAGAGGGCTTTCTTTAATAGACAAACATGAGTGGGAAATCGAGGATCAATATACCCAGGAGGTTGTTCCATATGAACACGTTCAATAAGAGTTCCATTGAGAAAAGCATTCTTGACATCAAGTTGTCGAAGAGGCCATTTATTTGTGACTGCAATAGAAAGCACAACACGGACAGTGGTAGCTTTGACAACCGGACTGAAAGTGTCAGTGTAGTCAAGACCAGGAACCTGAGTATAACCTTTGGCAACAAGACGAGCCTTGAAACGCTCGACAGATCCATCAGGCAAATATTTAATACGAAACACCCATTTAGAGCCCACGATGTTGGTGTTAGCAGGGCGAGGAACCAAAGTCCAAGTATCATTTTGTTGTAATGCTTGAATTTCTTCATCCATGGCAGCCACCCAAGCAGGATTCTTAGCCGCAGATTTGAATCCTTTTGGCTCAGTGGATGCAAGAAGAGCAGAAAGAAGTCCAGATGAGCCCAAAATACCAAGATTTGCTGGATGACGAGTCTTGAATATACCAGCTTTGGCTCGTGTGATCATAGGATGAGTGCCCAAAGAAGAGAAATCAACAGGAGGTTCAATAGAGGTCGAATTAGAAGTCGAAGGTGGCAAAGTGGAACCTGCAAGAGAAGTATCAACCTGCACAGACTCATCTACAAGGTCAGAACAAATATCACACGGGGATGAACTGGATCGAGGAGTTTGCGGTGATGAAGTGGTAGGGGGGGATGAATCAATATGATGAAAATGTGGTTCTAAGAAATTTGAAATAGGAATAGAGGAAAGAGGTTGGGTCTGGGAGCTAGGGATAGCAGGAAAGTGGGTTTCATCAAATTGAGCATGACAGGTGATATATAGCTTAGTGGTGGCCGGATCAAGACAGCGAAACCCTTTATGAGCAGGACTATAACCCAAAAAAATACAAGGAATGCTGCGGGGAGAAAGCTTGTTAGGCATATAATCACGCAAATAAGGATAAACACGACAACCAAAGGGATGAAAATTGTCATAATGTGGAGTGTAGCCATAAAGGAGTTCAAAGGGTGACTTACCTCCAAGAAGTGGAGTAGGCAACCGGTTGATAATATAAGCTGCAGTGCTGAAGGCGTCAACCCAAAAACGAGAAGAAAGATGAGAGTGAAAGAGAAGGGCCAAGCCAGTCTCAGTCACATGACGATGTTTTCTCTCAGCACGACCATTTTGAGCAGGTGTATATGGACAAGAGAGTTGATGGTGGATGCCAGAATTACGTAAATGAGTTTTGAAACAAGTATTAGTAAATTCGGTACCACCATCACTTTGAAATACCTTGATACGAGAAGAATATTGATTTTCCACAAATTTTTGAAATTGAAGAAAAATATCAAAAAAATCAGATTTAAATTTTAAAGGGTAAAACCAAGTGAATCGAGAATAATCATCAATAAAAATAACATAATAAAGGAAACCCGAATTTGATTTGACGGGAGAAGGACCCCAAAGATCACAATGAATAAGATCTAACACATGAGACGACCTACGTTCATTGCGGGAATAAGGCAATCGATGACTTTTTGCAAGCTGACAGGTATTACATAATGATGGAGAAGGCAATAAAGACGTAAGAGAAAGATGACCTTTTCTATTTAAAAAAGAAATAACAGAATGATTCACATGACCTAGACGAGCATGCCATAAATCATATGAAGCACGTAAAGATTTGTTTCTAAGGGCTGAAATAAAAGCAGAGTTGCCGCGCTCCAGCACATATAGCCCTCCATCTCTTTTACCGGTTGCCACCACCCTTCCTGTTTGACGATTCTGGATAGTAATAAGATTATTAGTAAATGTAACGGAGAGAGGAAAATCAGACGTTAATTTACTTATGGAAAGAAGATTTTTAGTGAGGTGAGGGACAACCAAGACATCTAACAAGTGAATATTTGGAACAGGTGAAAGAGTACCGGTGTGGGTAATGGGTAGGGAAGCACCGTTTCCTACAATCACAGAGTCCTTACCCGTGTAATTTTTAGACTGATCCAAAATAGATGGGTCGGCAGTCATATGGGCCGAAGCTCCAGTGTCCAGAAACCAATCAGCAGTATCGGGTCCAGCAATAGAACATGACGTGTTAAAGGCTTCAGCAAGGTGAGCATGAGAAGAATCAGGTCGAACATACCGTTGGTTGCAGCGGTCAGCATAATGGCCCTCTTTGCGGCATATTTGGCAGTGAGGTGGTCGACGACCTTGACTTGAGTGGGTTCGTCCTCGATTAGAAGAGTTATTTTTGTGAGAATAAGAACGACCTCGCTGGTTGGTAAAGGAAGCAGGGTGGCTTCCATGGGTGCGACCACGATTAGTGACTGTGAATGCTGTAGGAGTGGAGTTAGAGGACTCAAGGGAGAGCTGAAACAACTCAAAACTTTCAGCTTTAGAGACTAAATCTGCAAAACAGGGGATAGAGGTAAGAGCCATCTGAGCAGTAGAAAAAGCTGAAAATTCGGTGCCGAGTCCACGAAGGAACCAGTGCACTTTATCAATGTCCTCGACCGGTCTGCCAATGGCATGAAGTTGGTCACAAATTTTTTTGAAGGCACGGGCATACTCAGCAACAGGTTTGGTGCCACGTTTCATCAACTGCAAGTCATCCTTGAGTCTCAGTTCACGAGCTTTCGACTGATGGCTGAACGTAGTTTCCAACGCAAGCCAAACATCACGTGCAGTAGGGAGACCAACGACAACAGCCATGGCTTCCTCAGTGAGAGAGGAGAGCAGGAGACAGAGAAGTCGTTGATCGGCTGCTCTCCATGCCAAATATTTGGGGTTGAGTGTTGAAGAGGTTTCTGGTTCAAAGCGAGGTGGTGGAACCCTGGTTCCATCGACATAGCCCAGCATGTCTTGACTCTCAAGAAGAGGGAGAAGTTGGCTTTTCCAAAGAAGATAATTGGAGGAAGAAAGTTTGATGGTGATCATATGGATTAGAGTATTGAAAGGAAGAAGATGATAAGAAGATTCGGAAGCCATAGAGAAGAAAGGATCAGGGTTGTTAAACCGAAAGGGCTCTGATACCATGTGAATGTTTGCTGAATCACCACACCTCAATGGGGGTGAGAGTTCTCTTATTTATAATTATTTTCAGAATACAGAAATATGGTAAATTACAAATATTATGGAAATAGTAATAAAAGGAAAGAATAATAAATGAATGCAATATATTTGCCTTTAATAAGAGGGCAAATATGGTAACCCGTAATGTAAGGCAAATATCTAGATATTTGCCTTATAGTGACGGTCAACTATCCTTAACACCCATCTCACCATATACAAAACGTTCGTACAAAAAGTTAATCGACAGTTGGACGCAAT